TGGACGCTACAGTTCGACTCTTAGACGGCCTCTTGAGCTGCATGGGATTTTCAACTACCTTGCTTGGAGTTCAGTTGTGGGATCTGAAGACTGCAGAACAGAGGCGTCGCGTTTCATGTTCGCTTGAGTGTTTGTTGGCCTGACTCTTGAGAAAGATGCTGCCGTGATGCCTCGAAGATCGATATTTGCAGTCCTGTGTTCCGGGGGCTTGGAGCCAAAACGAGCCGGATGGCATTCGTCATCGCGGTGACTGGAGGCTTTTCAGGTGTTCGGACGCCGGGCAATGGCACCATTTTGCACTCTCTGAGCAGTTCTGTTGGACACCTGAGAATACTTAGACAGCCTCTTGAGCCGCATGATGTGATGTTTTTTGCTACCGTTCAGTTGTTGGATCGGAATTTGTTGTAGAAGAACGGAGGCCATGCATCTTCGGTTTTGTGGTGGCAGCTGGCTGGTGCGGCATTTTCGTCTGGCGGACTTTTCAGTGGATACTGCTTTGATGCCAAGATTTGTGGGAATCTTGATGATTTTGGATCTGCATCTGTTTGTTGTTTGCTCCGCCTAGAAGCGCGCATATGATGTGAGGTTCACCTGCACAGTTTGCAGTCAGTCTTGTGTTGCATGTCGCCTTCAACTGCAGGGTTTCTGTCTTATTGTCACAGATGAGCGAAGAGCCTAGTTGTCGCCTGCTCTTGCCCCACGCTTTGGCCCGGGAGTTTAAAACCCTGAAAGAAACACTCCTGCAACGAGTATTTACGGAATCTTGCCCGTCAGAGATTCCAAAGATGCGACGTTCCGACCGTGCAGAACTTGAGCCCTGTTTGCCGAGGAGCGTGTTCCAGTCCTGGGAGGAGTATATTCCACAGGCTGGCACCAAGGTAAAGGTTCAGGGTTTAGCCGGGGTTGAGGGTTTAGGCGAGGATTTTGGAATTAGGTGTTGGGGGCTAGTAGCAAATTTGTATAGTGTTCCAGTCGCAGGCATCAAGACTGTGTACGCAGGCTATCGTACTCACGCCCGAGACAGAGCTCTTCAACGACTTCGCTTGGGTTGCCATACCGCCTTACAGACCTTTCAAGGCCGGATCTGCTTTCTACCCTTAGCTTGCATCTTGCTGTGGTGCAGCAACATCCATCGGTCCCATCGCAGGATGTAGTGATCCCGGGGAGTTTGGACTTGATCGAGGCGCAACATCTGCCATCTTGCCTTGGGATGTCCTGCAAAATCAGCAGTTTCAAACGAAGCCAGGTTCTTGTATGTGGGGGTTTATGATAGGCTGGTGCCGGAAATTGGCAACATAGTTCCACCAGATGCTGAGGAGTGGAATCTAAGCAAGAGTTAGCCACCACTTGGGAAAGCAGGGACACATCCATCGGTGTTTGTTTCTGTGGTTCGCGTTGCTGCTGCTCTGCTGCTGTGGTTGTTGTGGTTGTCCTTACATTTGCACCGTGTTAGCATGTTCGTCTACACATTGAATCACCGTCTTGCTTTCTTTTGCATGTCGCGCACCATTCCGACCTGTGCACATCGTCGTTTTTGGCGTTGCGAAGAAGCTCAAAATGTTGTTACATCCTATTTGTTTTGCCTTCATTCCGGAGTGTAGACAGACATTGGGAATTCCCTGCACCAGCTAATAGTAGCTAGTGTTTCCTACATTCTACGTGTACACAGCCCAGAACTCGCAGTGATGATCGCCACTTGGCCGTCCTGCACCAAGTAGGGGCGAAAGGTGATCAAGGCCCTCGAGAAGTCGAAACCCCTGCGAGAGCGGCGCTACCTAACGGCCTTCTTCGGCCGTGCCGACATTGCCAGCCACCCAGTGGCTCTGGTGTTTGGGACTATCGAGAAGATCGGCAGAACGAAGTCTGAACCCGAATCTCAAGAGCGAAGTTGTAACGGTAAAGGGATCTGTTTTCGGAGACGAAGGTTTCCACACGCAGTGCTCTGCAGGGTTCCCAACCAACCCATGGGGTCATGCCCGTGGCAACTGCCCATGTCTTTGAAGACATGCAACCTCAGTCGTCAGGCGGCATCGCAGCAGCAAGCCGTAAGCCCTAAATCCTAAAAAACCCTGCAGCCTGATCACTGATACAAGTCACAACTTCCAACCATTGGCTCTTTCGGTCCCGAGCCCTTCCTGCAAGGCTCGCGGGCCCCATCCTTGGGTAGGCGGCGTGGATGTCCGCAAGGAGCTTTCTCGTGTTTGGGGTTTAGGGGTTCAGGGTTTAGGTTTAGGGGGCCTTGAAAGAAGAGTGCAGACGCTTCATTCTTAAACACTTGGCCCGAAGCCCTGAACCTTCAAGTGCTGCGAGGAGTTGATAGCTCTTCAGGAGCTGCCAGGTGCCCCTGCAGCGGCACGGGGTGATGCAGAGGATCCTGCTGTAGCGACCATGAAAGTCAGGTATTGGAGCAAACCTTAAACCCAAAACCCTGAACCCGAAACCCTAAGCGATTTGATGTCGCCATGATCGTTTTGAGGCTCATGAAGTCTGGGCCACGGCTTTGTATGCGACACGTCCCGGCTTAAAACTGGCAAAACCCAAGAGGCACTGAACCCCGGCACCGAAGCATACGACGAAGTGTACTCTGTTACTGTGCGGCAGAAAGGAAGTGTTGTGATAAGATATCTCGTGGATAAATTGTCAGGACACACGGTCTCCTTGGCGTTTCAATTGCATCTCTCAAGATGCAATGCTGCCTCTTGCCTTGGGCCTCCTGACTCCTGAGCCTCCTGAGCCCACGAATCCCATGGTAACCCACAGAGCCATTGCAACAGCCAGCGCTCAGAGATTAGCTGACCTTGTTTGGAGCCATGTCCGCGATGTTGCGGCAGCTGTGTCTGCGCGGGCGAGGGCTCGCAGCGCAACGTCTCCGTTGCATGTCAGGCTCCCTTCATTTACTTGTATCTAGGAAACAGGAGTCATGCCAAAATACAACACGTGTAATTTGCGCTACAGTGAATGCATGCTCTCTCTCAGTTCAAATAAGGGCAGGAGCATGCAGGAACTGTCACATTGCGAGACTTCTGCATTTCGCACCCTGAAGCGTCCAGTGCAGTTGGTCACATTCGCCGAGTGTTGACATACACTGCACATGCATCCGCCAAGAGCATGTCGACGCTGCTGCACGCGTTGTTGGACAAGCTTGCCGAGACATGCCGAGTCGTGTCTTGATCGTAGCAATCGGGTCGCACACTTGAAAGTCCCTTCGAAGACTTTTCCAAAGCTGCTCTTTCAGGCTTCACTGTTTACATAATAAGGACACATGATCGATGCCAGAGGGTCTACGCGACCAGGTTTGGTCTGTGCAGCTTGAAGCTACAAGCCCTAGATTATATTGTGCCTGAACACAGACTGGTCTGGGCCTTGTGTCAGGCGTGCCGCAGCGCGGCTGTTCCGCGCCCGCCTTTTGCTTGCAGCGACGTAAGTGGTGGTAGCCTCGCCGCGCCGAAGTGTAAGCAACCGAACTTGTGCGCTCATTGTTGGTGCAAGCACGAGCTGTTACACCGTGTTACACCACTCTTTAGGGCAACTGTTGGTGCTGCGATTTTTGGTGTCTTCCTAGGACTCTGGCGACAGGGTGCCTGGCACGGAGGACGTCGCCGAGGTGTAACATATGATGGCAATACCGTTTCTTGTTCTCACTTCCCACAAATCGGGGTGGTCTTGCGAGTATTCGCTGTGCATGGGGGTGGTTGGGTGGTTCGCGTTAGGTCACAGGTTCTACACATTCGGGGGAGGGGTGTCCTTGGGAGAGCCAGAGTGCGACCTGTTGAGGCATCACTGGGTTGCACGATGGCCATTGCCTGTAGCTTGCTGGGCGTTGGCTGTGGCTCTTGGTCGGAAGCCCGGTGGAAAGCAGCTGCAAGAGTCTAATCTAAACCCAAAACCCTCAGCCCTGGAGGCCCTGGAGGCCCTAGAGAACCCGAGCTCTGAGCTGGAGTACTTGAGCTTCAGGTACCTTCTCGGGTCAGAGAGGCTGGATGCCTCTTTGACGCTTTGCCCGGATGCCAGCCTATGGTTGCTTAACCTTGAAAGACGATGCTACTATTACACAGTCTCTTCCCTTGAAAATGCTTGAAACAGCTTCTTCTGTTGTTTCAGTTTTTCCATGATGCAAGCTGCAATGTGGCCAGGCAGGGGATGCATCCAGCGAGGGAGAGCTTCCCGCCGGGGCCCGAGATGTCAAAACCGCTTCCGAAACTTCGAGCCCTAACCCCAAACCCTAAACCCTCAAGCCTAAACCCTCAAGCCTAAACCCTAAACCCTAAACCCTAAACCCTAAACCCCCAACACTAAGCCCTAAACTCTGCTGAAGGCCTGGGTCCTTCACCCGGCTGCCAAGACTAAGCGCGCAGGCGGGAGTTTTACTGGACGTTAAGAGCTGAAGTATCAATATCGTATAGAGTAGTATGGCATTACCCAATTAATATAGAATAGTCCAATAGAATATGGCAGAACATGATATCAGAGTATACTACAATGTAATGTAATATATACCGGAATAGGAGAATCGGGGAGATCAGGAGCTTCGTCCTTTAGGGATCTTGCCATGTTCGCACGGGTGATCAATGAAGGGAGCAGGGAGTTTAGGGTACTAGAAGCAGCCAGCAAGGCTGGGGTGTTTGCCAAACCCTAAACCCCCAATCGCTAAGTCACCAGACTCTTCGAACAGCCGCATATGCCGCGGATAAACGGAGAGGGCCATTTCAAGCGGCCAGTGTTAGTGCCTGACATATTACTTTGGAGATCGTGCGGCGAACTTTGTCCAGCTGTAGTAGGGAGGGCTGGCGAGAGCTTCGAGAGCAGACGAAATGGATTTCTCTGTGCACAACTTGGGAGCGTGGGCAGCCTTTGCCCAGCTTCCGTTGTCTCCTAAGTTTAGAGGCAGTCGTGTCTTTAATGTGGCCTGCGCAGATGACAGGCGGAACCAAACCACCACTCTCCCCATGCGTTCCTGTCTTGCTTCGCTTCCGTGTTACGTAGGCAGGATCCTCCACCTGGGTCTGCGAAGGCGTGTCGGAGCTTGCCATCACATGCAAGCTGAACCCCCAAACATGAAGAAGAGCTAATTACAGTTTTTGCTGTGAGCTGCATGCATACTGTATCTAGGGCGAATCTACGGTTGAAGAGTGTGTCTGTGCGTGCACATACATTGACATACATCCGTACATCGCTACATCCATGCATCCATCCTTGCATCCATAACACATATATTTAGTTGGTTAGTTAGGTAGGTAGATAGCTAGACGTACAGACAGAGAGACAGAGACAGACAAACAAACAGACAGAGGGTAGACAGACAGATAGATACATGCGTAGAGAGAGAGAGAGAGAGAGATATATATATATATATATAGAGAGAGAGAGAGGTACCCACTACTGTCCTTTCTGGCCTTGACGCCCGGGGGGATATTGCCCGAAGTGCTTTTCACACCGAGCCAGAGGGTCAGCAACGACCTCAAGCCCCTGGGTGACAAAGAGCTCGGCTGCGCGAACTCGCGTAGGGGGGGCGAGCTCACGGGTGCGTTCTCCTATGGCCGCAAGCAAGCAAGCAAGAGAGAGACAGAGACAGATACTTTCCGGTGCTCGGGTACTGGCAGTATGCTGACCTGGTCCCCTTGCCTGGTGGGGGAAAGTCGTCCCAACCTGTCCAGTGCTGTCCGGTCTGGGCCTCATAACAGTGTAAGTACACCTTTCCTGTGTTGTGCCCTGTTGTTCACAAGGAACCGTAACCCGGCCAGAAGGTGAAGGCTGCTTGCTCTTCGGCAGGAATCCATTTCTGCCGTACAGCCGAGCCCCTCGGGAAAATTTCCGGGGATTTTCAAAGACGCCCACGGAGAGCGGGTGCGCGCTTGGGGCAGAACGCACCCCGGGCTCTCCACCTGGTAGAAAGAGAGAAAGAGGTAGACTGTAGCCATTTTGGCTCAAGCTTCGTGTCTGAAAACAGCACTGTGGTTCCCGGGTGTCCATGATGCTCACGAAATCGCACAGTACGAATCACAGCATCGCCACGCCGCCTCGGTGAACCGTGCGTCTGATGTCACGAACTTCGAAGCATATCCGGTGATTCAGCCGTCCATCGTTCCCGTCTAAGTTCAAGGGCCTGAAAGCTCCCTGAACCCTTTTTCAGCGGCCTCATTGCCGTGGACTCGCGACCGGTGGCTCCACCCCAACAGTTCGAAAAAAGCATTGGGCAGACTATGAAGATACGGATGAAGTGGAGGCCTGGATGGAGTTCGAGGCCGAAGTTCCACAGAACAACTCCTACATCGTGGAGGCAAACAAGTCTTCGGAGGACCATGCGTTCCGAGTTCCAGGCCCACGTGTTCCTCTGCCTGCAGTGCTGCGAGAGCCCCTGGTCCACCACCGGAACCCCATGCGCCGAGCCCCCAGCCCATGCTGCTCCGTCCCAAGCGCTGTTGCCGAAAGCGCAACAACAGCAGCTGGGAGGAACACTGGGAGGGTTGGGAGGATTGGGAGCCGACAGACAAGGGCTGAAACGAGTGGTGCGAATACTTGCCTGGAGTAGGACCTCAGGCGTGGGAAGGGCAGAGCTCTGCCAACGCTAGCGGAAGCTGGGCCTACTGGGAGGGACAGACAGGAGTTGTTATCGTAATTTCAGGGGCAACACCAGAAGGTGGGGCGATGCTTCGAATCTTCATGCCCCAGCTCGAAAGCTGTACAGCGCCGCGTTCAACGAGACCAGGCGTCAGCGAGTGGCCGCCAAGCTCGAGTATCACCGAATGTGATGCAAAAGCAAAGCTGCACGGTGCTGAAAAGACGGTAGGCGTACGAAACATATGCATGACATTCATACATAACTACAAACTGCAAGACTTTTAGGCGAAACGTTCTCAGTTTCCAATGTTGTGGCCCTATGCCCCGAAGCCAAGTCGTCCCTCCTCGAAGGCAAGCTCCCGCAGTGGCAGGACAAAACCCTTCACCTGCGCTTCGGCCTTAAGCTTGGGGTTTCAGGTGGGTTTGGGAAGGGTGTTTCCAGCGTCTTATCTGAGCTGGTGTCAGTGGAGGCTCCAAGAGGTTTTTTGGCTGAATGCGCTGCTTCCGGAGATACGCAGTTCGATGTGTCACGGCGAAGTAGGTGTTCAGCTTGAGCGGCGATACACGAGGCGGTGGCAGCTACTACATGGCTGCCGTGGACAGAGCTGCGACCGCCAGGTTCCAGCCATATTCGGGTTCTCAAAAGCAGTCGAGACCCAGGGAGGACGGAGACCGGTCTAGCTCAGAGCAGTGTCTCTCACAGAGCAGGCTTTGCGCCCCCGCACTCTGTCGAAGCCAGACTTGAACTCTAGTCTAGAAGCCAAACTTGCTTGACAGCATCGCTGGCCGCTTCGCCGCCGACTGCGAGGCATTGTCCGTCTGCAGCAGGATGTATCCAGCACGTCGAATGAATAGCATGGCAAGAAAGCTTCTGGTTCGGTTTGGTAGCTTCCGTCGCCCACAAGTTGATTCGAAGCCTAGACAGCCTTGCGCACCGTGCAGGTGATACAGCTGCAAAGCAACAGCGCTCGCTGCTTACTGCGGCCAGTCGGACACCGCGCCCTCCTCCTCCTCCACCTCCTATGTTCGGTTTGATGAGGAGCAGAACCACAAGACCAAAAGTAGGATCCATAGGAGAGATGCGGAAGCAGAATTGTGTCATCAAGAGCCTTGTGGGCACATGCTTTAGAGCAACATGGCTACGCAGGTCCTCGCAGGTCATTGTGTAGCAGAAGTCCCCATGTCTGATGCCTCTCGATTCCACACTCAGACTCTGACTTGGCTACCCGGTCCGCTGTCTTCCGAGGCCACCTCGCTCGGTGTCGAGGCCAGCAACGAGGCAACGCTGTAGAACAATCTGAGATTTTGGGTCACGTTGTGCTGTGATAGCTGCTAGATGCGCGCGGATAGCTTCACACCTGTGCGATAAAGCCAAGAGGCGAAGGCAGCAAATGAATTTAGAGTTTAGGGGGTTCCTCGTTTGTGGAACGATTCGCCGGTAAACTACACAAACCGACGTGGCTCTTCTTTAGTTTCGTCGCAGCCAGTTGCATCAGGTTTTGTTTGAACTTCTCCCGCCGTGCCAGGTAACCTGTCTGCGTGTTGCCGATCTTTGCCCGCCCGATGCGGTTGAGGCCATCGTGTTTGTGCACAGCTACCTCAAACTCCTAGCACATGACGGAATCCCAGGGCGGTGTCGTGACGGTCGAGCTCATGCCGGGATTTGGATTGCTGGACCTCTACGGACAGCCAGGTCGCGAACGACTAGTGTTTGCTTCGCGAAAGGAAACATGGCTGGGCTAGGATTGCGCGAATTGCTCGTAGGACTAAGCATTATTTTTGCTGTGACGGGTTTGTTCCTCTTTCAGATGCCTCGGTTGCAGCCACATTTCTCACAGGATGCAAGTTTCAGCTTCACCTTTGTGTCTTTCTTTCCCAACTATATACGTATGCTGGTTCTGCCTCTGCTGTTATCATTATGAGAGTCAAGTTAAAGGTTTGTGTGTGTGTGTGTATGTATGTATGTATGTATGTATGTATGTATGTATGTATGTATGTATGTATGTATGTATGTATTGATGTATGTATGTATTGATGTATGTAGGTATGTATATATACATATATATATATATATGTATGCATATATGTGTATATTACATCTATCTATCTATCTATCTATCTATCTATCTAATATCTAACTATATATCTATCTATCTATCTATCTATCTATCTACCTATCCAAATATATATATATATATATATATATATATTTGTTTATACCTACTTACTTACCTACCTACCTACCTACCTGCCTGCCTGCCTACCTACCTACTTGCCTACCTGCCTACCTGCCTACCTACCCACCGACCTACCTACCTACCTACCTACCTACCTACCTACCTACCTACTTACCTACCTACCTACCTACCTACCTACCTACCTGCCTACCTGCCTTCCTACCTGCCTACCTCCCTGCCTACCTGCCTACCTGCC